GGAATATAAATTAAATAATAAATATAAGGAGTAATGATGTCTGGAACCTAACTAATGGTTCGACCCTGCTTGAACGGGATGCTTTGGTTGATTAGGAATGATGAGACTTGTCTATCACGGCTGGAAATACATGAATTTCCGACGACTTTTCCGCCCACCATAAAAACTGGTCGGAAAAACCGACTTATTATCATTTTTCCGGCAATCGGAAAGCGGTCGGAACTTCCGACCACCAATGCGAGGTGGTCGGAATTCCGACCATACTCATGAGTGGTCGGAAATTTCAGCAGCTTGCATTTATTTTGCATTTATTTTCCAACCATCTACAAAGGTGGTCGGAAAATATTGGCAGCTTGCATTTAATTTGCAAAAAATGTTTGTAGCTTGCATTTAATTTGCATTTAGTTTCCGACCACGTTTGTAGGTGGTCGGAAATAGCTTTATATATATACTCCTTCTGCGTATTTTCAGACCATTTTCTCCGTTTTTTTACATCTTTCTGCTCATTTTTTCCTTGTTGCAGGTATTCTTTCATATAATCTTCTACAATAGTGCTAAAATGAAGTTCTACTACATCATATATATCATATCAAGCTAAGGTATGTGTATATATTATTAGATCTTCCATTTAATAAGCTATACTTTTTTTTAGATCTAGGTTTGATTTTTTTGAATACTTATTTAGATTATTTATTTTATGATTGAATAATGTATAGTGTGCATATATGTATATGTGTTTGTATGTGTGTATGCTTATAATTATTTGTGTATTTTTTTTTTAATTGCATTTTATATGTGTGTATATTTATTAGTGTGCTTGTATATAATTATTTAAAATATTAGTATTATTTGTAATATATTTATATATGTGTTTGTATTGTATATATGTTTTTGCAGTAGTAGTTAGAGGAATTTGTAAATTATGCAAGCACGCTTCCTATATACGAGGTTTCAATGAAGATTAGGTGCCCATGTAGTAAGTGTAAGAACAGAGTACATTTGTCTACAGATGATGTTCGTGTTCATTTGTATAAGAAGGGTTTTGAACCGAATTATTGGATTTGGACGTGTCACAATGAGCTCCCCCCCCCCCCCCCCCCCCCCCCCCCCCTCAATACAACCACATATGAATGAGGGCCCTAGTGAAAATAATCGGTATGAACAAATGGTTTTTGATGTATCTGGTCCATCATTTTTTCCACTAAATGCCGAGAATGACCAAGATAAAGAGCCACATAGTAGTGCAAAAAACTTCTATGATTTGTTAAATGCTGCGAGGCAACCTTTATCAATGAATGTTAATGAAGAAACAGAGCTGGCATATACATTGAGGATGATGAATATCAAGACAACTTTTAATATACCGCAGCTAGCAATGGATCAGATATTTGAGTATATTAACCATTTGATGGGTCCCGATAATCGAGTACCTACCAGGTATTATGATGCAAAAAATTTACTTACAAAGCTTGGTCTTGGACATGAGAAGATTGATTGTTGTGTAAACAATTGTATGTTGTACTATAAGTCTGAAATAAATGACAAGCATTGTAAGTTTTGTGGTGAGGCAAGATTTAAACCTTGCCCATCTGGATCTACTCGTGCAAAAGAGGTACCTCGCAAAAGAATGCATTACCTTCCTCTCATTCCTCGATTGCAACGTTTGTATGCATCACATAGCTCTGCTTCACACATGCGATGGCATTATGAAAATCGCCACGAACCTGGTATTATGTGTCATCCCTCTGATGGTGAAGCATGGAAGCACTTTGATAGAAGGTTCCCTGATTTCTCAGCAGATCCTCGAAATGTAAGATTAGGTTTATGTTCTGATGGATTTTCTCCTTTTGGTTTCAATGCAAAGCCGTACTCTTGTTGGCCTGTTATGGTTGTTCCGTATAATCTCCCACCTTCAATGTGTATGACTACACCATACACATTCTTAACCTGTATTATTCCTGGACCGAAGAACCCAAAGGCCAATATTGATGTCTATCTACAGCCTTTAATTGATGAACTTCAATTGTTATGGGAAACAGGTGTCTTAACTTATGATGCATCACTTAAACAAAATTTTATGATGCGCGCTGCGTTAATGTGGACCATCAATGACTTTCCTGCATACGGTATGTTATCTGGATGGCAGACAGCCGGGAAACTAGCATGTCCTTATTGTCTTCATTATTCTAAATCATTTTATTTGAAGAATGGTCATAAAACATTTTGGTTTGATTGTCACCGTCAATTCCTTCCAATGAATCACTCCTGGAGGAAGAATCGAGATACCTTCGTCAAGCAACGAGCTGAGAAATAAAGACCTCAACCAATTTGGACAGGAGATGAGTTGTTTCATAGTTTGGAAAATATCCCAAGGATTATTGATGGTCCAATTGGTCGCATCGAGGGGTTTGGACAATCACACAATTGGAAAAAAAAGAGCATGAGTTTTTTCCCAAAATGGTCCCTCGACTATCGTTCATTCTCAATTTTGCATTTCGACTTTTAATTGCACCCAATGTGGTCCCTTGACTTTTAAAAACTCCCCCAAATTGGTCCTCCGTTAGAAATTCCGTCTATTGAATGTTAAAATGAAGGGCATTTTTGTCCGTTTACCTATTATATGCCTAATATACTCTGAAAAATAGTCGAGGGACCATTTTGGGAATAGTCGAGGGACCATTTTGGGAAAAATTCATTTATTTATTTTCATTTTTAAAGACTATCATATTAGAATTTCTATAGATTTTTTTACTTATAAATATAAATAGTTTTTAAACTTTCTTTACAATTTTTTCCTTCTGTCTAAACATACAAATTTTTCCTCTATCCCTATCAAGTTTTACAATAAGTTTCGTACTTTGGTAAACAAGTTTAACTTTCAAATTTAAGTTTATTAATATTCATATATAAAATACAAACAAACTTCAAAATGACAAGAACTTGTAATATTGAAAAATGATGAGGCTTTAGGTTTAGAATTGCTTGTTTTGTGTTAATTATTTTTGCATTTGGTTTATTTTACTTGTCCTTTAACACATAAAATTGATAGCCATAGTTGTAGACTCTCTTTAGCATGATGTACTTGTTGGTAGATAGGCATTTGGAAATGGTAGTTATGATTTGTACTAACTTTGGAATGAAACTAATGGCCTTGCAAGTTAAGTTAAGCCAACTTTTCAAAAATATTTTCTAAGATTTTGTCATTGACCGAGAAGTGACGCGTACTTCTTAGTTCCAAGAAGTGCTAGAAGCATAGCGATTGATTGTAAAAATAATAATTTTATTTTCAAAGGCATACTGACCGAGAAATGAAGCGTACATTTTGGGTGTCTAAACTGATAAAAATAGTAATGTTATTTTTATTGGTATAAATAATATTTAATGTGATACATAGTGATTGATTGTCTATTGAAGTTTGTGTGTGTGTGTGTGTGTGTGTGTGTGTGTGTGTGTGTATGTGTGTGAACATAAAAAGTATATGAGTATTATATTTTTGAAACTTACGGAACTTATTGTGAAACTTGATAGGAATAGAGGGAAGTTGGTATGTTTAGATAGAAGGAAAAAATTTGTAGAGAAAGTTTAAAATTTTGATTGTGGATTTTAACTATTTATATTTGTAAGAAAAAAAAATGTATAGAAATTCTAATTTGATAGTCTTAAAAAAATGGAAATAAACAAAAATGAAATAAATAAATGAGTTTTTCCCAAAATGATCCCTCGACTATTCCCAAAATGGCCCCTCGACTATTTTTCAGAGTATATTAGGCATATAATAGGTAAACGGACAAAAATGCCCTTCATTTTAACGCTCAATAGACGGAATTTCTAACGGAGGACCGATTTGGGGGAGTTTTTAAAAGTCAAGGGACTACATTGGGTGCAATTAAAAGTCGAAATGCAAAATTGAGAATGAGCGATAGTCAAGGGACCATTTTGGGAAAAAACTCAAAAGAGCATATTTTGGGATTTGCCTTAGTGGAAGGATAATTTGCTACGTCATAATCTTGATGTGATGCATATAGAGAAAAATGTGTTTGATAACGTCTTCCACACAGTTATGGATGTCAAAGGCACAGCTAAAAATAAAGACACGCCTAGTGCACGTCTCGATATGAAGGACATATGTAATAGGCCCGAACTTGAGCTGGTGGAAAAGAATGGATGTTACCTTATGCCCAAGGCAAGCTACAGTTTGAATCGTACTAATCAATTAGCTGTCTATGAGTGGTTACGAACTTTGAAGTTACCTGATGGGTTTTCTTCTAATTTGGCTACATGTGTTGATTCCACATCTTCTAAATTAATAGGGATGAAAAGTCATGATTGTCATATTTTTATGCAGTTTCTTTTGCCTATAGCCTTCATGTTTTTACCAAGCTGTCACTGGAAGCCTTTGACTGAGTTAAGTGCGTTTTTCAGAAATCTTTGCTCTACATCCCTACGTGTAGACAAAATACATGAAATGGAAAACTCGATTGTTTTAACATTGTGTAAGTTAGAACGGTTTTTCCCTCCAGCACTGTTTGACTGTATGGAACACTTGCCTGTCCATATTCCCTATGAAGCACGTTTAGGTGACCCAGTACAATATCGTTGGATGTATCCATTTGAACGCTTCCTCAATCACTTGAAGTCCAAAATGAAAAACAACAGATATGTTGAAGGTTCAATTGCTGATGCATATATGCTTGAAGAGTCAACACACTTTGCATCATTTTATTTTGACGATGATGTGCAAAGTAGAAGAACAATGATAGGTCGGAACCTAAATGATGGCGGCATTGATCATAACTTGCCAATTACTTTATCAATATTTAATCGACCAGGTCGGTCGATGGGCAAGAGAAGGACAAGATATTTGAGTGCAGAAGAACATTTCGCCGCTCATCAATATGTGTTACTAAATTGTGAGGAGGTTCAACCGATTTTAAGGTATGTTTGCTCCATTTTTTCCTATTTTGGTATCAAAGGTATATATCTAATATCGTTATTGTAGGATGTATGAAAATGGTTTACGATGTTACAATCCTGGTTGTACTGATGAAGATGTAGACGATGAAATTGAAAGCAATTTTGCACAATGGTTTAAAGAATATGTAAGAAGTTAATGTTCTTTGTCATTCTTGATTCCTTATTATCTATATTTTTTGTTATATGACATGTCCTTTATATTTATTATTAGGTATATTGTCCAACGAACAATGTGTGTAACCAATCACTCATTGATTTGGCATCTGGACCGATAATGGAGGTTAGCACATACACTGGGTATGTCGTTAATGGTTTCAAGTTCCAAACTGAAGAACATTGTCGTAGAAAGTCGACTTCTAACTACGGAGTGTCAATCAAGGGAGCAGGGTTAGCACAATCTGAATCAAATTTTTTTGGCACATTGCAAGAAGTTGTTGAGGTTGAGTACCCCCAATGTTCCATTAAAAAGGTTGTTCTCTTCAAGTGTGAGTGGTTTGACCCAACACCCAATATTGGGTCAATATTCAATTCTGAATATGGCATCGCTGAGGTGCACTGCAATAAACGATATAGGAAGTATGATCCTTTTATCATTGCACAAAGTGCATGTCAGGTGTGTTATATCCCATACCCACGAGGTATACGGGAGAAAATGAATTGGTGGGTAGTTTTGAATGTACGACCTAGAGGAGCTATTGACAGTGCCTATAGCTCTAGTTACACATATCAACAAGATAACATACCATTGCATACATATGGAGTTGATCAAAGTATTCAAGATGACGTTCAAGAGTTAGTGCATGAACCATTACAAATGAATGAAGTGGAATTACCTCAAAGTGAAAATCAATGGGCTGACCAAGGTGTCGTCCAAACTGAAGATTCAGAAGAAGAGGATAGTGAAGAAATTGAAGAAGAGGACAATGATGATTCTGAACAAGATAATAGTGGAGATGTTGATGATGAAGATGATAATGACAAATCTGACAATGATGTGGGTGATTTTTAATTTATATTTTAAATTTAGATGATTTTTATGTGTATTTAAATTATTGTATTTTAAATCATAATTCTAAAAAAAAAAAAAAAAAAAAAAACATTTTGTGCGAAAATTTCACTAGGCGCCATTCTCAATTTGGCCCTAAATATTTCGCTGACTAGCTTCTCCCTCCACTCCACTCCACTTCTCCCTCCTTCAGTTCTCCCTCATTCACTCCCATTCTAAGCCCTAAATTTTTGCTAATCATTTACTCCTTCACTTCTCCCTCATTCACTCTTTCACTCCCAGACTTTGCCCCAGATTTTACCCCAATTTCACCTCACCTTCCTCATTCACTCCTTCAATCCCTCACTCCCATCCCCACATTTCACTTGGCCTTCCTCCTTCAAGGCACCGACAGCAATGCATGAGCCACCAACGGCAACAACTCACCAGCAACTCACTGTATACTCATTACAGTCTTATTTCATTAGTGTATATTTTGAGTTGGATTAATTTTACTATATATTCTTTCATTAGTGTATATTTTGAGTTGGATTAATTTTACTATATATTCATTACGTACTATGCACAGCTTCTTCATTATTTTTATTAAAATATGGATTCTGTATTTACTGTTATAAGAATTAGATTATTTGCTTGCTCTAAGTAATATTATTGTAGCTAATATTTATTTTTAAGTAGTTAATATTTGCTTATTTGCTTAATTGAATTATTATGCAGTAGCTAATATTTGCTTTTCACCTTAATTAAACTATGATTAGATCTTGTAATTTAGGCCTCAATAATTGGTACTGAAATAAATAAAATAAATTTAACAATTTTATTCAAAATAATAGGTTATATTTCCTTGGTTTAAGTATATAGTAGTATGTACAATACAATTTGGTTTAATATTGTATTGTCAAGCAGTACTGCTTTCCTTGGTTTAATTAGCTTAATTGAGTGATGGTAGGCAGCTTCTTTGTGTGAAAAAAATATGGTCCCTTTCATTTGAGTGATTGTAGGCATCAGGCAGTGCTGTTAAATGCAAAAATAGATGTTAAATCTGCCAAAGTTCATTTAGTTAAGATGATAGTGGTTTAATGTTATTATCTTTTGATTATTCATGTTGGAATTGAGGATGGTTTGCATGGTTGATCAGTAATCTTATTATTCTTTGATTATATCCTTCGAATATGTGAATATAGGAGGTTGCAGCTGAAAAAAAAAAAACAAACTCAACCTGAGCTTGGAGATTCAAATGTATGGTTTGAGGCAACCGGTGGTCTCAAGAAAGGAGGGAACGTTTTTGGATTCGGATCGGACACCCCACACTACTTTCCTGAGGTTGTGAGGCAAAAGAATTCCAAATCTGGGCAATCATCATCTCATGTAGCTTGTGAGGAAAAAATTAATCAACTACAAGAAGAGAACAAGCAGTTGAAGGATAGATTTGCATTGATGGAAGCTCAAATTGCTGCACTTTGTGGTTCAAATCAGTTGTGTTTCCAATCTATAGATCCAGTCGGTAGCCATGAAAGTAGTGGTGTTGGGCTAGATGATCTTGGAATGAATGATGGCATGCAATCTCCTATGCAAGAACAATAGGTCAAGATTCTAACTTGTTTTTTATGCTACTTGTGATGTAGGAAATATTTTGATTTGTAAAGTAGCATTTTAGAATTGGAAACTAACTTGTTTTTTATGCTACTTGTGATGTAGGAAATATTTTGATTTGTAAAGTAGCATTTTAGAATTGGAAACTAGTGTTTTGAAAGTGAATGTTAGAATTGAAACATTATGTGTAACTAAATTTGTTATTTAAATATATAATATTTGTAGTGTTATGAATTTATTACTTGTTTTAAAATTGGTAAACCAGTGAAAAAATTGTAGAAAAAAAAAAATAAATGTATATTTCTAAAAAAAATATTTACTGGTTGCTGGAAAAACAAATTCTTGGTTCCAAATTTCCGACCATGGGGTGGACGGAAATTTGGAACACAATCTTGGATCCGGATTTTTCGACCACCACGGTGGTCGGAAATCACAGGGATCTGTCCAATTCCAAGCTCGTCGTTGTGTTCCGACGACTCTATATAAGATGGTCTCTACTTCCGACCACTAAACAAGGTGGTCGGAAGTACCGACAAGGCATTTTCCGAACCCCCCAAATGATCGGAAAAGTGGTCGGAAGAGACATTTTCGACCGGATTTAGTCTATTTCCGACCACTTTCGGGTGGTCGGAATTTTGTTGTTTTCCAGCAGTGTATGATGATATTAATCACCATGATCTTTGAGAGAATGAATATTTGGAATGTCAAAACCAATGTATTTTAGGAAATGCCTCCTAAACATAATGAGTAATAAAGAAGGAAGGGCGAAATCCCAGATAAAAAGGCAAAAATAAGGACATTCTTATTACTCATTATGTTTTTTTTTTTTTTTTTTATTACTCATTATGTAAAAAAACATAATGACTAATAAGAATGTCCTTAAGGGTATAAACTAATCATGAAAAAGTCTTCTTTCCAATTAAATGTCATCCATCATCGAATTGCAGCCATTATCAAGTTGAAAGGAAACGGAACACGTTCACATCACACAGCTAGAGGGATAATTGGTGGCGGCAATAATAGTACCATGAGGAGATGTGGAGATGTATTTGCCACAAAAATTCCCTTATTGAGTGGAATTATATTGGATCATTTCAAATTTGCATTTTTTATTTATTTATAAATTATAAGCAAAGGCCATACTTGTTTCAAATTTTAAGTTAGAGATATGATCTTTTTTTTTTCTTTTTTTTTTAGAGATGAGAAAAACTCGCAGATTTGGATAAATATCGTCTTATGATCCTATCCAACAAAGAACTACATGGAGATAAACCAACTTAGGGTGTGTTTGGTTGATGAGTTTTGCCCATAGGAATGGGTATGAAAGTGATTGTTATTCTTTGGTTGATAGATTTTTAGAACACTATTATGGGTTTCGAATACCCCATGAATTGAAAAACTCATACCCAAATAAAATAAGGGTTTCATTCCCTTATTCATTCTCAAGCACTACTATTAGTAACTATTCCCATTCCACCCTACTACCAAATATGTTAAATACTTTCACCAAAACCCATTACCATTACCAAGTATTTAATATTCATTCCGACTCCGATTCCCATGTGCGAACCAAACACACCCTTAGATTGTTTATAAATGACTTACTCAAACCAAGAAGGCCAATAATTCACTTTGAAAGTCAACTTATAACCCAAGCTAATAGTAGGTTAGTTGCCCTCATCATATCATCTCTTTTAGCTAACTCATCATAAATTGTATTATTGTAATACGTACAAGTCACACTTTTAATTGTTTCTTTAACAATTTTGTTAAAATATATCATTCTTCTCCCTAAATCATATCTTAATTCTATGATTTAATGGTTTGAAATGCATAAAGTTAAAAAAAAAAAAAAAAAGAAACTTTGTGATATAACGGCACCAAGTTACTCTCCGATATGAGAGATTGTGGGTTTGAGCCTCAAATGGAGGTGGTATTGGTTTTTTATGGTTCAATAGGTTGAGAAAGTAGTTATGAGTAAATACAATATTGTAACAAAGTCAACAATACTAAAAAAAAAAAACAAAAAAGTAGACTTTTGACCTTCAATTACATTGATGTTTTATTAAAGAAAAAAAAAAGTATAATGGACGATATTTGTTTTTGTTTCTAACTATTAGGTCATGAGGTTGAGGAGCAATTTAAAGGAAAAAAAGAGAAATAGAAACTAAAATTAAAACACACATTCTGTAAAGTTTAATAGAATTTGACACAATAAAATGCAAACAATTATTAGTTATTAGTTTACACAATAAAAGGCAAAGAACAATCAATCTCTTAACATTTGGTTAAAGATGGATGAATCCACCTTTCCTACACAGATTCACATTACACCTATGTAGGTATGATGCTATTATTATATTACTTAAATACAATACAATCCTTTCACTGATACGATGCAGTGACACCACCTTATTTAACATAACATATATATATATATATATATATATATATATATATATATATATATATATATATATATATAACACCAATTTATTCTCACCGGCCATAAACATCATTTGACACGGTGCAGACAGAATTGCTAGAACTTGATAAGAAGCTTTACACAATCAGCTTGCTTTGTCAGTTCATATGCTTTGTTCATTTCACTCAATGAAATTTCATGAGTTATCAACTCATCCAGCTTGATTTTCTATACACAAGACAAAAAAAAAAAAAAAAAAAAAAAAAAAAAAAAAAAAAAAAAAAAAATTAGAATGTCATTCCAACTTACGTTTTTGCCTAGTTATATATTATATTGCATAGGCGTTTAGACAAGAAATTTTAAGATATGAGATGTAATTAGAATTTTAGATCTCAGTTCAGACAAGAAATCTTAAGTATATTAACTCGACTACGTGAATGCTGTTTAATCAAATTAAATAACAAAATTATGCGTACGTACCTTGTCTATGCATTTTTCGAAAACTGACGAAAGATCTGACCGAATTCTTACTCCACCATAGAAACTGCCTTTTACTGTTCGACCAAAAAGGAGAGCACCATAGTTGATTTCCACATTAATTTGTGTTCCTAACCCAAGAATCACTGCCGTGCCAAGACCCTAATTAACAATGCATCAACACTTATATTACAAATTGTAATCTTAAAAATCTATATTCAAGAAACATTTTAACATACTTTACAATAACGTTATATATAATACTAGTAATTCAACCGCGCGATGCACGGAAAAAAATTATGTTATTATAAATATAAATAAAAAATAGAAAAACTAAAATATTTTAAATTATTTAATATAATAATATTTTTGAGCTTCCATTGGTCAAGTATTTATTATTTTTATAGAATACAAAATTACAATTAAAATTAAAATTATAATTATAATTTTGTATGGTTAATATAATCTCTAATTATGTGTATATTCAAATAAACTTATAGAGATAATTTACATAATTACATTGATTTATTCTTAATTGTATTTCATCTATATTATAATTTTCACAATACAAATAATAACTAAGATAATTACATTTGGAAAGCAAATTTCAAATTTTGTATGTGTAAATTTAAACTCTAATTGAACACATTTTTATATGATTATATAATATATAGCTATTTTACTTTTCAAAAGTATATTTTTTATATGATTATATAATATATAGCTATTTTATTTTGTAAATGTTGTGTTTTTTTTTTTTTTATATAATAAAGGAGGTTGTGGCATTAATTGTAACATTAATTATTTCCCAAACCATATAGCTTTATTATATAAAGGATATGCAATAAGACATTTTAATGTTGTTCTTGTAAACCCCAGAAAAAAAGGATAACCCCAGCAAAGATATCAAAAGATGCACACTTGTAACCACAAGGTCACAAGTTCTATGGATAACTAGGCTGGTTTATTTCCTTGTGGTCCTTTGCTGGCTAGGGTCCACAAGGCGAAATTTACCTACACCTGAAAGGGTTGTGGGGTTTCCCTCGTCATCCAAAATTAAGAAGTGATGGAAAAAAAAAAAAAAAAAAAAGGTTTAAATGTGATAAGGATAGTTTTGTTAGAATCTTCATTTCTCAAGACTTACAATTTTAGTGGATTCAATGGCTTCATTAACAAAAGCTGTAACTCCAGTACATTCGAAAACATAGTCGGCTCCTAGTCCTCCTGTCGCATCTTTAACCAATTCAGAAATTGATTTATGGGATGCTTTGGAAGGATTTATGAAATCAGTCATTCCAAAGGCTTCTCCTTTTTCACGTTTAAAATCGTTGATATCAATCCCTATTATTTTAGCTGCTCCTTGCTCTCGAGCTCCCACAATAGCCTGGAATTTTAAACAAATTAAAACTAGTAAAAGCTAGCTTTGTTAGAATTATAAATATAGAAATTGTTACAATGTTATTTAAATGACAATAGTACTTTTTGTATCAAGTATAAGTATATATGTTTTTATGTTATATCAAGTACTACAAATACTTGTTTTCACAATATCCGCGCAACCACACATAATGATCTTGTTTGGTAAAATAGTTAGCTTTTTAATCAATTTTGGCTTATTTGACCACTATTAATTGCTTGACTTGGTTAAAAAGCAATATAAGTGTTTGGTTAATTAGCTGTTTGTAATTCCAAAATGCTAAAATTCAAAAGGCTGCTCAAAGCAACTTTTTCAATTAACTTTTTGAGAAAAGAAATTATACCAAACAGCTATCAGCTAACAGCTAATATACCAAATATCTTTCTACTATCAGCTAATTTTATCAGCTAGTTATGCCCTCTAATTAACCCAACCAGCTAACAACAATTTACCAAACAAAGTCATTATGCATCCACACAAAAGGATGGATGAGTCATAGACACCCAACACCACCCCCACGTTTTAAATTTTAACATAATCATTAACACCAGAACTAGTGCAACTCTTCTAATTAAAAATAAAGTTAATGAACAATTTGGTCCCTCAATTATTAGCGAATTGTCAATGTAGTCCCTCAATTGCTTATTCATCAATTTGGTCCTCGAAAGCAATTATTCTTAGTCGATTTAGTCCCTCAGGTCATCTTCCGTCGATGGCCGGAGGGACTAAAAATAATTGTTTTCGGGGACCAAATCGACTGCAAAGACAAACATTGAAAATAGATGGCAAAGACAAACATTGAAAAAAATGGATCATTGACATAAATAAGGATTATAATAAAAGACTTACTCCCAATCCAACAGCACCAAGACCTAGGACAACAACAACCGACCCTTTCTCTACCTCAGCTGTCTTGAAGGTTGCTCCAAACCCAGTGGTAAACCCACAACAAAGCAAGCTAGCGTGCGGAAGAGGTAGTCGGTGGTCGACTTTAACGACGTAATTGGCATCGACGACGGCATATTCCGACCAAGTGGAGGTGGTGATGTTGTGGTATACTGTTTTTCCTCTTATAGACATTCTTGATGTGCCATCACACATTAGGCCAGTGTTGGAGATAGTGTAGTTGTGGCATAAGTTGGACTTTCCTGATTTGCAATTCAAGCATTCTCCGCATTCTCCCAAATATAGTGGCATCACTGTGTCTCCTACTTTAAGGTCAGTTACATTTTCGCCTACACTCTCTATCACACTACAATAGCAAAACAAAATATATTATTAGATATTAACAGACACCTGAAAATTATGGAATTTCCGACCACCTGAAAATGATCTTAAATCGAGTCGAAAACCTTGTTCCGACCATTTTTGGTATCCGGAAAAACCTTTGTTGCTATTTCCGACCACTTTTTGCTTTTGACTTGATTTAAGAGATGGTCGGAAATTATATTCCATAATTTCCAGTAGTTAAATTTCTTTATATTGAAAAATATTTGATTTCAAAAACACCAAAACGATTGCATGTTTATTATGTTGAAACTCATTCAAACCTTGTATGTAAAAAATAGACTTTTACTAACATATTTTATATTTTATACACCTCTGAAAATTATGGAATTTTCCGACCAACTGAAAGTGATCTCAAATCAAGTCGAAAGCAAAAAGTGGTCGGAAATAGCAACAAAGGTTTCTCCGGATACCAAAAGTGGTCGGAACAAAACTTTCGACTTGAAGATCACTCTCAGGGTGTCGGAAATTCCATAATTTCCAGCAGTGATTAAAAATGAAAACATTTATGAATATTGCTACTTTCCCCTCCGAACATGGCTTATATTTATTAGGTGCTTATGAATTGGTTGACTCAAACGGCTTTTAATCAAATATTAAAGAATCTAATCAAATAGTGTTACATTAAGAGGGAAGATCAGAAAACTTTAGAGCAGTGTGAAACATTACTGAATATTTATATATTAGTCTACACATGAAAAAAATGATGTCTATCTTTATTTAGGAGAATTCCAATCCACTTTGATTTTGATTACCATCGTTAGTAGGGACCACTTAAAATAATGTTTGAAATCGCTAACTAAATAACTTAATTTCTTTTAATTCTTTTTTCAAAGAAATAATTATTAGCTAGCTTGCAAAACTCGCAAGGCATGCTTCTTTGCGTATAAAAATATTTTCACTTTCCAATCCTAGCGTATCCCATCACAGGGTTTGACATAACCCTAATTACATGTTGACGCGAATAGTATTTGATTATTTATTTATGTGAGCAAAATGAAAAGAAAAAAAAATAGTTAAATAATGGGATAAGACTGAGATATTGAGTGGTCAATTTATTATAACGTGTGAACCATAAACAATCTGGACCCAAAAAGGACAACAACTACTTTAACATGTTTTATATTGAGATACATGATTAGATTAAGGGTGAAAAGATGGAGAAATTGACTTACCCAACTCCCTCATGTCCCAGAACTCGTGGAAATAAAGCCTGAAGATTAAATAATTGTATTATATTAATTAATTATTAATAACATAAAGAAAACAAGTGGATCAACAGAAGTAATAAGCCAGATCAAATTAATAAACCAAATAAATAATTAATTAAGAGATGAAGCTAGGAAACTATACTAACAACTGGAAAGCCAGAATGGCATAGGGTATCAGTGTGGCATAAACTGGCATACAACATCTTTATACGAACTTCACAACCCTTTGGTGGGTCCACTTCTATCTCTTCCACCTTCAACTCCTCTCCCTCTCCCCATGCCACAGCAGCTTCAAAACCATATATATAAAAATGTTATCCAAAGTAATAATTCATTATATATATTATTGTTTAATTTAATTTGCCCAAAATTCTTAACAGAAGCCAAACCCTGATCGAATGAAAAAAAACCATGATATATATGCATATTACCTTTGCAAGTGATGACCTTTGGATCCATCTGTATTCAATTATATTCTCAGTTTCTATTTCTTGATTAGCTTTGTGGGAGTTGAAGGGAAAAGCTAAAGGATAGGAATTGATTGTGTTTGTGTTTGTATATGTGAATGCAGAGATGACCCTTTGGCCATTGCATACAACTAGCGTTTTATAGACTCAACTTTCTTGTTCAATTCATCCTTTAATTTGACTATTATATTTTCATTTTTAATTTGGTTCCTTAACTCTAAAATTCATGATGTTGTTGTTGTCGGTATAATAGTCAATATAGAGTGTTTCTGTTTTTTTGAATGTTTATTCAATATGGATTATTTTTTTTTGAAATATGGCGTACCAATATATTAATTCAAAAATTGAATGATAGAGTCAGGAGGGATTAAATCCCAGTACATAGAATGATCCTGATCATGGGCTAATCTAGCAAGAGTATGCGCATGTGAATTTAAAGTTCTTGGAATAAAACTAAGCGAACAATTAACGAAACTACTAATAGCTATCCTGCACTGCTCAACCAGAATTCCAGTATACGATAAGTTCGGTGTAGTTACTGCATGAACCGCATTCTTTAAGACAAGACAATCCGTAAGAATATCCACCTCGTTCTCGTTTCGGTCTTTAAGCCAGGACAAGGCTTCCTTGCATGCTAGTGCTTCTGCCATAAGAGGAGTTAAACACCCCGGGAGTTTTCCGCTTGCCGCTGCTTTGAACAAACCATTCGGATCGAGCAAGACCACCCCATAGGTTGCATTTCCCGTTCCCGGATCGTATCGGCGTCGACGTAGCACGCCGTCCGCCCGGCTGCCACTGTCCGCACCCCGCCGGCCGGTGCCGCCGCTGGGCGAGAATGAAGTGCCGTGTAGCTCGCCTCCCCCGCAGCTGCACGGCGCCACACCACCTCCGGTCTCCGTACCGCATGGTCCCAGACCGCCTCTTTTCTGGCCCTCCATAAAAAATAGAGGACCCCCACAGCGCGTCTGACCTGTTCACCTGTGAGCATATCCATAACAGTCATAAGCCAGTTCGGGAAAGATGTTGAAAAAATATTCATAATAGGCAATCCCGAAATATTCCATACGGCTCTAGAATAATCACATAAAACTAATGAGTGCATAACATTCTCATTTGTAAGACCACACAACATGCATGTTGGGTTCACATCTACCCTCTTTATAATCAAATTTGTTGTGGTTGGGAGTATATCACACACCGCTCTCCATAAAAAAGTTTTCCACTTGGGGGGGACTTTCAACTCCCACAATGTAATCCATTTATCAAATTCTCCCAAGGTGTGATTAAATTCTCCCATTAGACGCCTATAAGCATCCTTTACAGTTTAGCAACCATTCGCATCATTATGCCAATACCATGTGTCTTTATAGCCTGGGCTTACAGGTATTCTCAATATACGATCCACATCCTCTGGTTCAAATAAATCTGTTAAAATATGGGGGTCCCATGTTTTTGTTTGCTGATCTATTAAACCTGCAACAACTGCATCCCTTAATGGTTCAGGCATTACTGTTTGAACCAATGGACTAGGATTATCCTGCAACCACGGATGACCCCATATCAAAGTCTCCTGGCCATTTCCAATTCTCCTGCGGACGTGGGCAATAACAAAATCATGAGCAGCCATAATACTTCGCCAACAAAAGCTGGGATTATTTAAATCAAACAAAATTTATAATACAATTCTTATGAAGCGTTTGGTTGGAGAGATGGAATTAGGTGGGAAAAGAATTGCAATTCCATAGAGAGGAATAATGTGGAATAAAGTGATAATTAAATTTGGGAAGAGAATTTCATTATCCTGAGTCTTAAATAAGGTGGGAAAAGAATTGCATCCACATTAGTTGGGAAGAATATGGGGATAATGTAAGAGTGATTAGGAGAAAGAAAAGAAAAAAGGGCTGATGTGCGCGTTTCGCACAGCAGCCCGCCCACACGGGCGCGTCAGGCACATTCCACTCGTTTGGCAGAGCTTATAGCTTGTTTTAACCTACTAATAAGCTATAAGTTCTGTTTGGTAATGTTTCAAAAATAAGCTCGAAACTTAAAATAAGAGCGTAACGGTCCCTTAGGTAGGATTTTAAAATAAGCTAGTAGCTTCCTAACTTTTTTTTTTTTCTATCTTTGTCCTTATTATTTTAAAGAAATGACATCATTTACCCTTCCCAATTAAAATGTTTTTCTTTTCGCCTTTATCCGCAACTTTCACCGCAATTATTATTATTATTATTATTATTATTATTATTATTATTATTATTATTATTATTATTATTATTATTATTATTATTATTATTATGAGATGAAGGAGATTCGTAACAATATTGATAATTCATTATGGGATGCTAGATCATGATTATGCTAATAATTTTATTTAAAAATGTTAATTTTTTTTAAACAAAATGTTAAATTTTAATATGTAAACAAACTAATTTAAATTTTCTGAAGATGTCCTTTTTTGTCTTTTTACATTTATCAACTTATCAAAAAGCTTATTTTACCAAACACTTTCAATCATAACAGCTCTTCAGTTTTCAGCTCTTTTATTATAGCTTTTTAGCTTTCAGTTCCTTTTTAAGCTTTCAACTGCCTTTTCAGCTAGGTTTGCCAAACATAGCCATTACTAGTATTCCTTCTGTTATGAAAAATTCTTCATTTTCACCAAGCACATGAATTTAGAAGATTATATTTAATATATTTGTTGAATGATATATCTATTATTTTACATTTATATAAATGCTAGTTACAAACACGCATAATTCGTGATATAAAAAAAAATACCCAGTGAACAAGAACAATGGTATGAAATAGAAAATAAGCACGTACTATGTACAAGTTATTACATTTAATCGTGTTACTTAATGATGTTAACAACTGTGCGGGAGGGGGCGGGGGTGAAGAGAAAGAAGAAAGGAAAAATTAAAAAGAATTTGTAAGCACAATATATGAGTTAATACTGTTTCTAATTACATCAATACATTTTTATTTTCCGGCGACTGGAGAAAGCGATCAACTTGGTCTCTTTCCCTTAAAGCGACCAGCGACCGGGGAACGGTCGCCAATGTTTGTCGTCGGAAATTGGTCGAAGATTTACCGGAGTTGGTTAGAGGATCGCGGAAACCCTAATGACTTGCAATCGCAGGTCACCAACCGATTTCAAGGTTTCATTACTCTAAAATAATATGTTTATGGGTTTGATTGCAACTTTTTAAAGTTTAAGAGCGTAATTGATTTTTTGAGTAAATTTCAGGAGCCTATTTGATCATTTTCCCTTCTTATTAAACAATTATCATCATTGACTTGTATTATATTTTACAAGTATTTTGTACGGGAGATGCATAAAATTTCATGTTCAGTATTAAAATATTGATAAACAAAAATTATTAAAACAATTTAGTTCAAAGTATATTTTACGATTCTTAAAATTAAGTGAAATTTTAATTATCATATTTGATAAATATAGAGAAAAAAAAAAAAAGAGAAAGAATTTCAAATTTTAGTTTAATAATAATATAAAAATTTTCATAAATTTTATAGTTACAAACAAACGAAAATTATATAAAAATATCTATAATATATACCAAGCTAAATAATCTATAATACTAAGCCACACCCACATGTATTGGTATATATAAACAAATAATGTATGTATTATAGCCACACACATTACACATATGGTTTAACATCCATAAATATTTAATTAACATATAATTAATAATTAAAATAATTGCTATATAAATATTTTAATAAAATGATAACTAAATAATATGAAAATAATATGGTAGATGTATGTGTACGATAATAGTGATTGAATTATCAATGTTAGAATTTATTAAATAATAACGGAGTTATAATGGTGTAAGAAAATTATTGGAAAAGATAGCATAAAATGGTAGAAATGACATTTTAAGTGGTTATTTTGTGGTACAATTATTAGAGGGGTCTACTTCTGATTTGGGTCGGGTCAAAGTTGATTCGGATTCTTCGTAGTGAGACGAAGAGATTGATATATTGTACGCTCAAAACGGATAATGGGTGAATGAGATATTGATTCTCAAAGTAGACCGGTTTGAGTTGTAAAAGTGAAGGGAAAAAGGTTGGAAGAAACTTTTGTCCCACATTGGTTTGGGAAGTGGGTTTGCACCACTATTTATACAAGAGTCTTTCTAAAATTTATTGAATTGTATAGCATAGAGTCTCTCTCTTGTGTGCAAGTCACTCATTTTCTTAGCCTACTGTGATCTCTAAAGTTCAGGTGCTCAAATGTTGAACCGTTTTCTTAGCCTACTGTGATCTCTAAAGTTTAGGTGCTCAAATGTTGAACCGTTTTCTTAGCCTACTGTGATCTCTAAAGTTTAGGTGCTCAAATGTTGAAACGTAGCACGTCTTTATCCTGGAAAATCTAGGCTATAGGCTATAACGCTCCTATCACTTGTGTGAGAGGTCTCTAAAGTTTAGGTGCTCAAATGTTGAACCGTAGCACGTCTTTATCCTGGAAAATCTAGGCTATAGGCTATAACGCTCCTATCACTTGTGTGAGAGGTATCAAATAAGATTTTAAGGAAAGAGTGATTCGCTCAGGCTATAACACTCCTATCACTTGTGTGAGAGGTATCAAATAATATTTTAAGGAAAGAGTGATTCGCTCGACTCGTGCTAACCACCTACACCAACTCAAGCCATATACCTTCATCCTTTCCTTCCCAAGATTTTCATAAAATAATAATCTTTTCGTAAGATTATTATTGGGTTTTGACCAACATATATCCAACAAGTACTTTTGTCTAAGAAAAATTCATTAAGCTAAGGATAATTTTTTAAAATAAAAAAATATATAGAGTAAATACCCAAAATGGTCCCTCGACTATAGCTAAATTCACAAATTGGTCCTCGACTTTCAATTTCAACCAATTAAGTCCTTAACTTTGTAATTTTGACACGATTTGGTTCTCCATCTATTTGACCGTTTGTTGACCGTGATCGACGATCTCTAGAAGAAACTTCAGCTCTCGTCAGAGCACGTGGAGGCCTCCAGGATGACGTTGCACTGGTTCGGAAACACGTCTTCTTCTTCGCTCTGGTACGAACTCAACTACATTGAATCCGAAGGGGGGATGAAGAAAGGCGACCGGATTTGGTAGATTGC